TTCACAGGCAAGTCAGAAGAGGTAGGTAACTAAGGTTACTGGTCCTGATGCGTTGGCCAATCGTTTTTACTGGAGTGCGCAGAGTATCTCGCAATACCTTTAACCGCTCTGCTCTTATTGGTGGCATATGCCCTGACATTTGGAGACCATTAATGGATAACGCCAGCGTCCAAGAACGAGCCTCAAAGTTGCCATCCAAATGCATGTAGATAGGCAATCTTCGAGGCCTTTGTGGAGCCACTTGTCCTTCGAACATTCAGAAAGATAGGTACCTTTGTGCTTACAAACCTAACAGCTCCACATTGGATGTTTCAATGTATTTCGTGCACACTGTGCCACGTACACTAAATGAAAAATGCAGTGTAATGCTCCCGCTTTTTCTTGACGATTCGACTTCTCACAAGAGCGTCAGCAGATAATTATTGCTTAAACAGCTGTCAAGGAGTGAGGTTCAAATAAATTTTTGCAGCGATTGTTTTCAAACTCTTCTAAAATCATGAATTCTAAATCGGTTCGAAGCATTTTTCAAAAGTTTGAATGGTTAAAGGATGTTTTACAAACCGCCTCTACTTCGACCAGTTTAAAGAAACAAGTTACCCTACATTTTGTGCAGTGACACCCACTCGCCAATTTTGCTATTTAAATCGATAAATTTTCTATACCGCGAAGTTTATCTGAAGTAAATATCTTGCTGACTTCGTTTCGGGATGTATTGCTCCTACTGTTGGGACAACCTCTACTGGAAGAGTTTGCAATGCAGTCATCGTCCTTGTCTTCCATTCGAAACCCGTAAGGTCCTCTTACATACCGGCCTAATAGTCACACGCTGTTTTGAATGGCTCTTCTTCATTGCCGATGGGTGCCGAACAAATACCCACGACAACTGTCAAATAACTGTGGGTCATGTTATCCCAAATCTATATTGGTCTACTCATACAGCCCAAACGTTTTAAGAGGTTAAAAGGCCATCTGGTGGGAACACCGCGTGAGTAACGAGCGTGTTCGACGCATTGTTTACGGCCCAGGAAAACGATCTGAACCGCTCAGCACCGTTATTTCCCGCACCAGGCTCCGATGGCTCGGCCAAGTTTTACGCATGCCAGCCCACCGACTCCCGCGACGTGCGTTGTTTGCTCACCGGGGATGTGGGTGGAAGAAGAGGACGGTTGGCCAAGCGATGACTCGGTCCAGAGGAATGAAGTCCATCTCTTTAGAGCTAGCCTCAGGTGGAGCTTCACGGCTCCCTGGTTGGGGTCCCAAAGACGGTGAACACGTTTGGCTGGATACACTTGCTGACATGGCAAGGAGCCGACCTCAGTGGCGTTCCTGCTGTGAGTTTCTTTGTCCCTCCCCATCCTTTTTAGTCTCCCCATCCATCTACGATCTCATTTCCTAGGGTGAAACATAATATTTTTTTCTTTTTGCCTAGTAGCTGGCTAGTAGCTTACCCGAAAGATGCCTATCCGCTGCTGGTAGCTCAGCTGGCAAGCAACTATTGTATCTATTTTTCCTTTGTGTATTTTATTATATGTATGTATGTATGTATTTCCTTCATGTATTGCGGCACAATAGCGGAGGTTTTTTCCCACCTCTAGCAGATGTGTATAATAATGATGATGATGGATAGTAGTGAGCGTCCCTCTTTACTTTTATTGTCAGCAAAAATATATGCGCTTCCATGCGTTGTTCCTATAAAGAGATAAACGAGCGTTTGCACCCACTTCATGGTAATCCTTCAAAAACGCTATCTGCTCCTTCTACGCGCTTCAAATTTGATGTTTTTTTGATCGCACTGCATTATGATAGCATTCTACTCTACTGTACTTGTCATGATTACCTTTTTCCCCAATGAACATAAGCAACATTAGGCGCAATTGTTCACTTGAGCGATACACGTCTACATTTCAAGGTGGATCATTTATTGCTTTATACATACATTCCATGTGGTTCAGAATGCCCAGTGATAATGTAAAAGATTAAAAATATGCCTACCCAGATGCATAGAGCTGTTTTGGCTTGACATTTTCTCTTAGACAAGCCAGCAGTTTAATGTGTGTCTGGCGATGAGACCAGCGAAATGTTGTCCCATGATCAGTGCAAGATGACCAGTTGTTTGTGACCGTGAATTTCTGATAGCTGTTGTAGCGCTAACCGCAAGTTCCAGTCAAGTCTGTCATGTCACGCACCTAAGTCTGGCAAACACATAAACGCCCTGCTCGGAAAGCAGTGACCAGGCTAAGGTAGCAGATGCCAAGCCGACGCAACTAATTCTGTGTTATCTGTTGTTCTAAGGCAATAGCTGGGTTATCACTATAATATTGCACACTGGTAGCTCAGGTTGTTCAGATGGCGGTTGAGATGTTCGCTGAACTTGCCAATTTTGTTGTAAAGGTTTCGTCACCAATGTAGGGGACATCATCAGTGAGTAGTTGAGTGGCGCGTAGTAACGTAGAGTAGGGTAGAGGAGCTTAGGTGAGAGTACGCTGAGCGTGGAGAGCGCGGTGTGAGTACGTTTTTATACCGCCGTGACTACCCGTGGAGACAAGCAATGGTATTGATTGGGACTTCGATCCGCCTACAGCTTGATTGATGAACAAGTGTCATTTGACCTTGGCGCCTTGTTTCGTGGCCTTTGTCTGCATGCGCTTGTGATCGCGTCTGTCGGCAGTTCTGGTTGTCCAGTCCTACATTCCACCGGATTCAATTGTTTGAGTACTGCTGAGTACTGCTGCGTATACTGCGTCCAGTTAGATGTGTCGAATGATTGAATTCGTTGTAGAGTACCAGGCTTTTAACAACTCCCTTGCGTGTTTTGTAGTTCCATGTGCTAGGATCTTTACATTCTCCAGGTTGAAATGGTGGCCTTCTTGATCTTCATGCGCAAAAACCAGTGAGTGAGGAACATGCATTCTGACGGTCGCCTTGTGTTCGTGTACAAAGGTTTGTTCCAGTTTGTCCGACGTAGTTTTTGTCGCAGTCACTGCATTTTATCTGCTAGATGACATTCATTACTCGGCTTGATTGACTTCTTCTTTGGGTTTTGAGATCAATTTCTTCAGGGTAGCACTTGGTTTGGTAGCCACAGAGATTTCTTGTGACATCAGCAATCTTCCTGTTAGTTCGGTGGTTATACACGCTGGAATTGCACCCACCGTTTTGTTCAGCTGCCATTGCAAGTGATTTGGTAAACTATTACAAGATCCGCTATATTAAGGGCCAAATGGTTATCAAGTTGCTAGTGATCTTGCACAAACACTTTGCAATTTGAAGGTGTGAAGAAAATGTTTATTGGAGGGACCGTTCATATAGGTTGTGCTGGGTTGACTAAGCCACCCAACGTCGTCAAACCGCGAAAAGGCATCATCCGCATGAGCGGTGACAAGTAGCCTTTAACCATGCACACCTCAATGGCTGCATCGCGAGATTCCGCAAGGGAACACTTCATGCTGGAGATTACAAAAAAGTTTAACAAAAATGAGGACATTCTACAGCAATGAACAGCGCCGCTTGTTGTCAGAAACATATGCAACAACTCATCACGAACCCTGACGCTTACTGTAAAGTTTGAGTACACCGCACGCAAATTTCATAGGAACACCTTTCCGCTTAAATATTTCGGAAAGGACATCAATCGACTGATTCGGACGCACTCTTGAAATTGAGGAGCCCAACAATTAGCGGTCGGTGATAGGCGTGACTCTACTATAGCACCTGCCGCATAGTGATTAAGTGCTTCATACAGCCTATCCTGAGCAATTATCTGCCTGCACTTCCCAAATCCGGGATTTCTGTTCCGCAGTGAAACGACGAACGATAATCGAGGCCAGTAATTTTGTCACCACTGGTATTATGCTAATACCTATCTGGTTAGCGCAGTCGCTGTGCTGCACTATTTGTGTATTGCGGCAATAAGAATTTTAATCAAGTCTGCTTGGTGCGAATTTTGCGAGCAAGGTACAGCCAACACTTCACTGATGATTTTACCTCAATTGGTGGCGAAACGTCTGCAACCCAATTGTCTAGCCTGGAGAACAAATGAACCAGTGAGTCGTCACACCGAACGACAGGTTTTGCAAAACATTTTGCAGTTCATCGGTCTAAAGTACTTGCCGTCCGAGCAAGGACAAGAAGTGCAGTGCAACTTCGGTGAACTCTAGCGACTTGTACGTGTTGATCTGATTATGGTTTATCAAATTTTAAGCAACCATAGCAATTATGCTATAAACGATTAAAGCTTAGCCGTAACAGCGGGCCAGGACGCCACTGTTTCAAACAAGTAAAATAGTACAACCGATTGGAATGTAGACGGAATTTCATCTCACTTTGTGGTTGCCACACATGGAATTCCTCATGTAAGCAGTTAGTTTAAGGTGTACATTCGCTGTGTTCTGCGATGGTGTCGACAGTTCCATGATTGCACTACACCACATAACACATTTGACCTACAAGATCATCAGCGAAGCCCAAAGACGGAAGCAATGCGACTTGCGAACTAATTTTCTGGAAGCTATTCAAACGGACAAAGGTTTCATATTCAAGGTCATTGTCTAGGGATGTTTACTGTTTATACATGTTTTTTTCATTTTTGGGACCCTTCTAAACGAACACCCAGTGGGACATCTTACGCTTCGGCTACTTAAGCGCAATATACCGTTGAGGATCGACCGTTGATACAAGCTCAGAACTTTACGACTTCTTACTGTCAAGTTCGGAGGATATATACCTGTTTTAGTACGCACTGTTGATAAGGTAGAGGCAATACATATTTTGTAAGAGCTAAGTAGATGACTCAATTTACAAGATGCCAGTGGTTTGCCTGTTCCTTCTAACTCATCCGGTCACTGTGCTGAACCCCTACTAAGAAGTGATTGAGTCAGACGTTTGGACCTGCCTCTGTATTCAACGACTGCGGCATCCTACAGCACGCAAACCAAGGTGTTCTGAAATAACAACAATACAATGTTACACCATACAAACCTAACACCATATTGAAAACTTACAACGAATGTCCTCTGTTGCTTGAACGACTAGATATGCAGTGTAAGAAGCGATTGCAGCCACCAGCAGAATCAGTATGATTCCGAGACTGAAACCCGCCTGTTGAAAAGAAAGAAAATAAGAAGAGCAGTGTTAGATATGCTAGATGTTATTGCTCACCTTTCCCTGTTCTGGAAAGTGGTTCAGTCTATTAGCTTGCTTGGTCTACATAAGTGAGTTTACTTTGTCCCAAGTTCGTTCTAACGACATCCTACCGAGGCCGAGAGCTTACCTACACCAGCGCGAAATTGACACTGCAGGCTAAACAACCAAGTCACTGGCGGTGATATATACCGTGGTCTACTTACCACTGCTGTAGTTTGGCGCCGCAACTGTTAGTTATTTACTTGAACGCATGTAGGTGGCGTTCACCAACTGGATTCGGTAGACAAACGCTTACAAACATTTAGATATAATCAATAAAGGTGAAATTCCTTAACGGAACTCGGTTGTAGATAAAATTTTGCTGGTCTACTCACAACGTCGCAATCCACGACTGGGTTCGAACTCAAGTGATCTCGTTAGGTAGAGGTTGTAAATATGTAATCCGGAGCCGTTTGGATATCGCTCGAAGCCACTGCTCCAAAACCACAGAGTGGAGACTGCTGTCTCATTGAATGGGTCACTTTGAGCCACTCTTTTTGGGAATGGATTGTGTTGTGCAATCGCACTCTGATGGCAATTTTCATTAAAGTGAACGTAGGTCAATTCGTTAACCAAAACAGCATTCGTAACAGAAAAATTTCAACGTGGACAAAAGATAATATTTGATATGTCAAAATATCGTTGGTTCTCCTCAGTCATAAACACAATACAAGCAGAAACACCAACCCGGTTTAAACGTGGGAAGGTGAGCAACACCAATCAAAGTGTAATTTTTACTTTGCGTTAACAAAACTGCCGCAGCTAGACAGCTTCAATACCCAATACCCATCATTAAAAATATATGTTGGCTGAGGGTGAGAGACACACCTAAGCTAATGTGCCGCAATACAAAAATGATCATATACTAAATATTACAGACTACCAAAAAGCTCAAAAGCAGGCATATAATGCAATTGCAGATATTATGCAATTGCTAGCATATTAACACCTAACATATTCAAGTGCTTCCGCAATGCACATGGTCAGAGAAATTTATCTGCGCCGAGTGGACAAGTGTGAAACACGTGTTGACACAAATGCATTGGGATAAGTGTAGCTTCATCTGCGTCGAGCTAGTTGGGCCGCGTATCACAACAATGTGATGGTTATCCCGCTACGACAATACTGAATTCCTTTACATTTAGTAGCAAAATATATGCTCCATAGCCAGATATTGTTGCGATGGAACGTAGCTTAGATGTGCTTAAGTGCAAACTTACGCTTGATATTGTTCCCATGCTCCTAGTTTATCCAAGTTTTCAAAGGTGTGCCTTCCCCGTTCGTTTGTTTTCACTCGTGATTTGCCTTCATCTATTTGTTAAGTTTATGTTGATAATTTCTAGATATTCACAACCGAAGTGAAAACAAAAGGCCCGATCTAGTGCTGATGCTTTTAGAGTTCTGAACTTATCGCGGTAAGTCAAGTCAAGTCAGGAAAGTACTTTATGCGCCCTGAAAGGGGGAATATTCAGCCGTAACACGGGCTTTCAGAGGATCAATACTTGAGAAAAGACAATAGCATCACGGCATAATCCGGTTCGTTACTTTTGGTCTAAAAGAAGTTGCGCTAGGTAGGGGATAATTGGTAAACGGTACGTTAGTGTACCGGCAAATATGAATTTTCACCTCCTTCTGGTTGACGAGGCTGACACACATTATGACCATACCCAATAGAGGGGTGACTTGTTTTGGAAAGTATTGTTGGTGCCAGTCTCTTACAAATACCAACATGAGTGAATACAAGTATAATAAAGAAAGTCAGCTTCGATACACCACTGCAACTCGACAAGTATTTTAACAACCTAGAGACTAATCTGAAGTTATTGCCGAATAGATCAGTAAAACCCATTGGTGTGCAGTACGTCCAGTGTGGAAGAACACAGACGGTGACAAAGCGAAGTGTCAAATAATGGAGACAAAGGAAGCTAGCAGGCATGAGGCTTAAAACGATAACCTCCGGATTTTTGTGAACGTCTTTTATATGGTGTGACCAAGATAAATAGTAGCTAGACTTGACGCCCAAGTACTTTACCGGTGTGGAAGAGTGCAAGCTTTCGCCATCGAAGTAGGGTTTCGGATGTTGCTGGAGAAGCTGCTGATATCAACCTCCTCTTGCAGTGAAAAACAACAGCGCTGCATTTTGACACGTTGAGAGACAGCTCGCGGACCGTTGCCCATAGTGTAAGATCGTTAAATAATACGTTGTAGACTGATTGAGAAAGCAGTTGTTAATTTATTGACACCAAAGACATTATCATCTGCATTTAACAGCAGGCTGCCACTTTTTGGAATAGTATTGAGCTTATGTAGTTGGCAAAGAGAACTGGTGACAGAATAGCTCATTGAAGAAGCCCGGTGTTTGCGCTTGCGTGTGAGGAGCTTCTGCCCCCAAATCGGGTAATCTGAGTACGACCGGTGAAATAAGCACTCAAAATCGGGCCGATGAAAAGACGTATTCCGGCCCCGAGTAGATCTTCCAACAGCAATTCGCGGTTTATGCAGCCGCATGCGTCGCTGTACTCTAGTAAACAGGCTCGGGTGAACTTGGATCTATTGTCCAGTGATGACAGAACCGAGTGTACAAAACAAGTTACTGCGTCTTGGGCAGAACTCAAACTGCGGTAGGCGAATTGGGGATAATCATTCGACTGCTGTTGTGTCAGTATCCTATCAATACCGATTTATTCGAACACCTCTGCTATCGAAGTACTAGCAATAGGTCGATGTTTCTTTGAGATCCATTTTAGTGATAGTTGATATTAATGCCACTCTAGCAGTTTGTAAGTTCGTATTATGTATTATATATATATATATATATAGTAGTCAGACGTTTGACAGGGAAGTCAGCCCATTCTTTGAGGACAATGGGAGACAGTTTGTCTGGACTGCTTGCTTTCTCTGAGAGAAGCTGTTGCAGTAAATTAGGTACAGTGCTGATGTGGACAGGGGACATTGAGTCTGCAGATAATTTAGCATGGACAAAGAATGATTTCGAGATCGGCTTGTTGTAACATTTGCAGAAGTCACGGTACCGTTGCACCACATCCACAGCTACGTCGAAAGTTGATGTACGTCGAGTAAGTCCGCATAGTTGTTTCACCATGCTCCAAGTATAGCCTGAATGTACACCTTGTTGAGACGGCGCAACTCCTCCCTTAAACGAACTGTGTGCGTTTCCTGAATAGTTGTCTTTGAGAACTTTCGCCTTTTGTTTATGTAACCACTTCAGGGGGGAAAAGAAACTGTCCGCACGAACGAACAGAGTTTCGCATGAACAACAGATATCAACACAAAAGTTAAAGTAGTCTGTCAAATGATAGAAGTATGTGGATATATCACTATCCGAAAATACACGGAAGTCGGTGAATGATACCATATCTCGCAGTCGATCAATAGGCTACGGGTCTACACCTCTAGACTACGACTCTTAGCTGAGAGATAGTGCGACTGGAAACAAACTAGTGTTATTCCAGATCATCCGCAATATGGGACCAAGAAAGCCATCAGTTAGTGAGACAATGACTGATAAAGATCGACGCTTGGTCCATGGCCACTCTCGTAGACTAGCTCCTTGGGCGGAACACATTGTAGAGCAATTTAGTGGGTATCCTGCGACACTGCCGCTCGCCGAATCGTTTGCGCAGTCGTGGGAAGTAGATGTCCTACCTCCCATTTTGGAAGTGATTCCAAAAAAGCTTACCGTGTTGTACAGAAACAAAGCTCCTGCACCCGTCGACCTTTCTCCATCATTGCTGAAAGATGAAGGTGAGTCTTTGTTGACTAGACTCGCGTCTCTTTGTAACAGGATTTGTAACAATGAAGTGGTGTCTTCAGGCTAGCGACTGTCAACTGAGGTGCCCCTCTTCTAGAGCGGTCAGAGTACTTTGTGCAAAAATCATCAACGCATTAGCCCTGTTTCCGGTGAATCCAAACTTCTCACGAGTAGCATTACTCCGACAACTTACTGCTACCCGAGAGAATCAATTCATTGTAAGCCAGGCTTTCTTCCTGGTCACGTTTGTATCGACCACATAATTATAGTTCGCCAAGTGTTAGCTCAGAAACACACATACAGCCGACCGACTGTGGTCGTTTTCCGTGACTTGAAAGCTGCCTTCGATTCTGTCGAGCGCGCCAAATTGTGGCACTGCCTATGCATAGAGCGAGTGTCGGCTCAAATCCTTTCCATTCTTAAGTCTCTCTACCGTCAGTCTCGAGGCCTTGTAAGGGTCTACGGGGGAGTGTAGTCTGAGTTCCCCAAGACAAGTGGAGTTCGTCAGGGCCGCCCTATATCCCCTATCTTCTGAAAATTGTCTATAGGAATGATCATGAAGCAGAAGCTCTACAAAATCCCAAAACTCATCTATCAAACAGGTGAGATTGAAAAAACTGCACAAATCTTTTAGAGACATTACCAACTTCTACTAAAACCGGTCTGATTATGAAGGCTAATGCCATTGTACGTTCTGCTTCATGGGAAGGTTTTTCCACTTTGACTACAAAATAATCTCTACATAGTTTAGCTCATGAAAATTGTGATAAAGAACACGCACAATCCATAGCCCCGATTAAAGAAATTATGCGATTACATTATTTAAGAACTACCTGCCGCCCTATAAAATGGATTGATGCTTAGCAATCTAGGTAGTGTGAGATTTGAACACTTTCGTAATAAGCTTAGAAAGTAACCTGAACCTAAGCACGATTTCAATTGTACCCTCAGCCGGAAAATCACTAGATAGATTTCTTACAGATACGCCGAGCTCATCCATTAGGTGGAAGCAAGAGAATATCACGAATGCAAGCATTGTTGTCTGGATTAAGACTGTCTTTGAAGTAGATTTATACTCTCTACGAGCCCCGGAAACGACGATACGTCTTAAAGAAGCAATTCAAAAATAACTGGCTTGATATAA